AGTACGTAAACTATTAAAGTAATTTAGAGTATCTAAAAGTAACAGTCTCTAGAAAATAAGCATAGTTAGAATATAAACAATAAGTCTGTAAAATGAACTATTAAATGTGCTGATGATAGTGAAAGTTAGTGTTGTATTGTCGTCTTTCAGGTTGTATCTCAGCTTTAATGCACTTTTTAAATAAACAAATAGAAAACCATCACGATAGCAATAAGATCCAATGGACAGTCGATCGCTTTCACTCCAAAATGTCGGAATTGTGGGGCTGTTGCTGGGGGCTGTTGTTGCAATGGATTGTTCAATTGAGTGTTGCCTCTTGGTAATTCCAAGCTCTTTGGCCACTCCCATTACCGCAAAATCATCTGATAAATTAACTGAAAACAAACAGGAAGTGCATGTTCAGATTTCAAATAAAGATTAGAAGGGCAAACAATTAAATTTGTCTTAATGACATGCACGGATGAATTATTCACCACACAACTAGCAATGTGAGCTAACAAAATCATATGATTAGTTTTGATGTCTTGGGGACTTTAAATACGCCAACAAACTGAAGTACATTGATATTTTTTCCATTGTCCTTCTCGAAAATAATGTTACAATTTCTTAACATGTAGATCACAAACCTTATAATATAATAATCATAATATTAATTACAAACTGTTAACTGGTATTTGAGTGGATTTTGTGTTACACATTAAGTTAACAATAGTGTGGAAAATAATCTACACTTAAAATAAAATTAAAATTTTAATCCATAATCAAATTAAATCCATATTTTGTGGCTGTATATCATTTTTTGAATTAATTCGTAAGCACCTTGTTGACTCTACACCCATTCCAACCATCCCACTTCCAATAGCAGCAAATACATTTTGAAATAAAACATGGACATATAACAATTTTATTTTGTATGTAATTACATAGTAGTGAAAGTCTCTGAATATAAAATGAGACCTGCATCACACTTCGACCACTTTGTTGGTTTTATCGTTCATCTCAACGTTTTCCATGTGTTTAATAGCGAATGATTCTCCTTTCTGATGGGCAGGAAACCTGAACCACCCATTAGTAACACAAGCTATGACGTTGCTAAGGTACAGCTTGACTCAGGCAGGGTTTCCATGCCAACCGTCAACAGTCTGGTATAAAAAAGTTGTAATAGTGATAGCCCACCTGAAACTGAGAGAGCCGAATGGCGGAAGGGTCACGTTAGAAACAACAGCCGTCATTTAAAAGCAGGAGAAATGGGAAATTTATCCCAACAGCTGGCTTACACGGCTCGCAAAACATGCCTTCTTAAATCTCCATGTTTGCATAACCTCAAAGCTATGCTGTGTCTGAATCCCACCTAGTGTGTTGGGGTAGGGGATTTATTTCAACATAATATTTAAGGATCAGTGACATAAGACAATAACAGCATTCTTAGCTTTACTTTTTACTGACAGGGACATTCATTTTGTTTGTGAGAGGATTTGCATCATTGTTGTTTTAGCTATATCTGAGGGAAAGAAAATTTGGCCGACCTCATTTGGATGAATGCCCAAATGAAGATACAATTGTTTGAATGGACTCATACAATTAGATCACACAAGCTCCCATTTGCCTTAGAGTCAATGTGGAGACTTTATAATTTCTGAACATAACAAAATGGCACTTCTGCATTATCCTTATGATATGACCTCTTGATTTAGTTTTTTGAGCATCTTTGTCTTTTCCCTCACTCACACAGTGGTGTGCACCCGCTTATTGAATCTCCAAATTCATGCTTCACCTGCTGCTGGTTAATTAAGGTGTGAGACTAAAGAGAGGCTTAAAACAACAAACGAGAGCATCAAAGCCTTGGGGATTTTTGAAAACATGTTATTAATGGCTGGAGCTGCTAAGGCATGCAGAAATTGCCTGTGTGGGAACCTGTAGCAAATTGGTCATTGGTTTAATGGTTATTGATTTATTTTATTTTGCCGACTCTGATAGGTAAAAGAAACACCTTATCTGAATAATCAAATATTCATTCATTCATTCATTCATTCATTCATTCATTCATTCATTCATTCATTCATTTTCATGTCTGCTTAGTCCCTTTATTAACCTGGGTTCGCCACAGCGGAATGAACCGCCAACTTATCCAGCAAGTTTTTTACGCAGCGGATGCCCTTCCAGCCGCAACCCATCTCTGGGAAACATCCACACACACACACTCATACACACACTCATACATAACGGACAATTCGCCTGTACCGCATGTCTTTGGACTGTGGGGGAAACCGGAGCACCCGGAGGAAACCCACCTGAACACATGAAGAAAATGCAAACTCCACACAGAAACGCCAACTGAGCCGAGGCTCGAACCAGCGACCCAGCGACCTTCTTGCTGTGAGGCCACTGCATCGCAATAATCAAATAATTAAAGTATACAGTGCTCAGCATATAAAAGTAAACCACTCACAAATCTATCTTTTAAATTCATATTTTTAATAATTTTACAACATTGTGTCTGTGCATATACAGTTACAGTCAGAATTATTAGCCCCCTCCCCTCCATTATTTAGCTTGAATTGAATTGTATTATCTTTCAATTTCTAAATATGTTTGGTGACTAAAATGTTATTTTAATAAATATATCTGTTTAATAAATATGTTTCATTTAAATGCCCCAAAATACTTTGCCTATATTAACTGACAATATATAAAATATTCATTTTCTAAATGGGGTGTACTCAATTATGCTGAGCAAAGTATGTGCAGTGAATTCGTTTGCAATATTGCATTTAAGCAACATCGGGAATCATTTCACTTGAGCAATTTCCCAAAATATGTATTTTAGTTATAGTCTTATGACCTACAAGTGTTAAAATTTATTTATTTCAAAAATTTATTTCAATGATTTTCATATGTCATCATTCAAAAATTGGAAAAAAGTTTTTGTGTAAACAATAAAAAAAACTTTTAAAATTTTGAAATTAGTGTTTATATGGTGCACACTACATTTCTTGTTATTATCAAAGTTATGTGATATTTTTAACATTGATTAGAACGTTTGAAACAACAGTGTTAATTTAAAATAGTTTTTTTTGACAGCAAAGTCCTTATTTTTGTTATTATCACTTTTGATCAATTGAATGTGTCTATGTGTGTCTGTCCAAAAAATAAATTTACTGACCCCAAACATTTGAATGGTCATAAATACATCTTTTATATGTAGATGAAATTATGGAAATGTTACTTCATGTACTTATTTTATTTAAAAAAAAAAAAAAAAAAAGAGTGTGGGGAAACACCATCTCTTTTAAGATCTCAGAGATCAGATTTTGGCAAATTACAATTGGGTATGGTGTGAAATGTGCCTAAAGTTTGTAAAGTGAATGTTTGCACAGTGTGAAATGAACTTTGCTCATTATAAAAATCCTCCTGTCATATAGGCCCACAAGTTCAACAGTCATGACGCATATTTTCTCACACACAAAGAGTACATAATGTGTGTCTTGTCATGCGGGTTGAATCAGTCGGTGGTTGTAAATGCCAATCCTTTATATTTGTATGCTCTGTAACTGACAGCTGAGATTATTCATTTAGATTGGAAAAATTTGTTCTGGGTGACCTGATATCTTAGTGGTTAGCACTGTCACCTCACACCAAGAAGGTCCCTGGTTTGAGCCTCGGCTAAGGCAGGTGTGGAGCTTGCATGTTCTTCCTTTTTTTGCATGGATTTCCTTGAGGTGCTCCGATTTCCCTCTCAGGCCAAAGATATGCGCTATAGGTAAATTGGGTAGGCTAAGTTGTCCATAGAGTGTATGTGTGTGAATGTGAGAGTGTATGGGTGTTTTCCAGTACTGGGTCGCACCTGGAAGGGCATCCGCTGTGTAAAACATATGCTGTTTAATTTGGCGGTTCATTCCACTGTGGTGACCCCTGATGAATAAAGGGACTAAGCCGGAAGTTGCAGTGTCAGAGCTCATAAAATTAACAAATAAAATAAAACAACAGCAAAAAATGTGAAAACACATTTACTGAATAAACTTTGATGTAACAAACATTACACCCACTTGACTGTGTTCGTTGTGTAGGTTACCAACACTATAGTCGTTGACCAGGCGAAAAACGCACCTAATTTACATTGCTGATTTTTAACTTTTTTTGCAAATTCTGAAAAAAATTAGCTAATATTATGATGGAAACTCAGCTTATATTAAATTATAACAGCTGATTACTTTTTAGCGCTTCAGCTTTGAAAACTGTATTTAATAGTCGGGCTGCAAAATAAATCAAAAATACTGAAAATCACAAATGTGATTATACATATCGATAACTAGCAAACCCTCCCTAAGACTTTCCTGCACATCAGGGATTGTAGAAGTCAGTGCACATCTCTGAAACAAGCACAGTGGACATGATTATTTTCTTGTCCAAAAACCGTAACAATTTTAGTAGGGATGCTGAAACATGACCAAGCAAGCCATGTTAAGAAAACAATAAGACAACAAAGAAAAAACTGCACTCAAGTGTTTTTGTTTATTTTTGTTTGTTTACATTGATAACATGTCAGATTTGTTTAATGCAACAGTAAAACATATCTCTTCACTTTCAAAAATTGCAGGGATTTTTTATTGACCCTGATAAAGATGTAAAACATGTTGGTTATGGATATATATTTTTTTAATATTGTAGTGCATAATGAATGTCCCATTATTTAGCTTGCTAGAACATAACCCATTTTTCTTAAAAATCACACAACCTTTCTAAATATGTGTCATATGTTGATAAATTGAGAAGTATTACTTAGGGCAATTCTGAAGTTGTGCTAAAAACTAAAACAAAAGGCAAACAAAAAATACTACAAGGCTTAAAGATTAGGAATAGAGTTCCTTAACACTGATAATATTGGGCTATCAGTGACGTTTAGATGTGCAACACAAAGTATTGATTTATGCAGCTGCACAGTACAAGGGTTAATATTTGACTAAAACTGTCTCTAATTGCTTTTTTCTCTCTTCCTGCAGTCATGAAGGCTTTTTTTGTGCTTGCCACATTGCTGTGGTGTTTAGCGACAAGTTTATCCCGGGCAGCCAAGATTGTGGTAGTTCCTCCAATCATGTTTGAGAGCCATCTATATATCTTTAAGACTCTGGCTTCGGCTCTCCATGCTGAGGGCCATGACACCGTCTTCCTGGTTTCAGAGGGCCGTGAGATCCCACCTTCCAACCATTATCGTCTCCAGCGATACCCTGGGATTTTTAACAGCACCTCAGCTGATGACTTCCTCCAATCAAAAGTTCGCAACATCTTCTCAGGACGTCTCACAGCACTGGAGCTTTTTGACATCTTGGACCATTATTCTCAAAACTGCGATGCGGTTGTAGGAAGTACTTCTGTCATGGAGCAGCTAAAACGTGAACATTTTGACCTGCTGCTCGTCGATCCCAATGAGATGTGTGGATTTGTCATAGCTCACATTCTGGGTGTCCAGTATGCAGTATTTAGCACAGGACTGTGGTACCCTGCTGAAGTTGGGGCACCAGCTCCCCTATCTTATGTCCCGGAATTTAACTCTCTACTAACGGACCATATGTCGTTGTTTCAACGGGTAGCTAACACAGCAGTGTACCTAGTTTCCAGGTTTGGTGTCCAATTCCTGGTTCTACCTAAATATGATCGCATTATGAGGAAGTACAACATCCAGCCATCTGTCTCCATGCACGATCTGGTTCAGAACAGTCGACTCTGGATGCTGTGTACTGACATGGCACTGGAGTTCCCACGACCAACTTTGCCACATGTTGTCTATGTAGGGGGCATCCTCACTAAACCCCCCAGCCCATTACCACAGGTAAGAAACCACTGCTATTATATTTGAAACATTTTTTAAAGGAGTCCTTTCCTTTTTCATTTTAAGATGGTAAAATGTTGGTAAAGCTCAATGCAAAGGGTGATATTTTCTTTTACAGAATCCACTTTAAAAGGCATAACACAAACAGCTGATAGGGTCTACAGCAAGCCTTTTTCCGACTTTATAAAACCACAATCCTAAAATGTACATAAACCCTTCCTCTTGGCATGATACTTCCAGACAAAAATGGACATGAATAGGCTTCATACGGCTTCACACTGCCATTAGGGGAAACTTTAACAGTGGTGTAGAATAAAGGTAAATAATGTGTTTTTTTTAGAAGAATAGACATATTAAACACAGCTCATAAACATTATCAGGGCTTTAAAAGAAATGATGGTTTACAACCTCTTTAAAAAATACACCTACTGTATTCACAGTAGAGGTACTGCTGTATTTTAGTAACCGTGTTTCAAATGATCTCGAAATCTGTGTACACTCAAAAAATCTACTTATTTACTACTACTACTTATTTAACATGAGCTGAATCAATACATTTTTGAGAATAACTTGATTGTTGCCTTGGCTGGGTCAGTTGGCATTTCTGTGTGGAGTTTGAATGTTCTCCCTACGTTCGCGTGGGTTTCCTCCGCGTGCTCCGGTTTCCCCCACAGTCCAAAGACATGCAGTACAGTTGAATTGGGTAGGCCAAATTGTCTGTAGTGTATGTGTGTGAAAGAGTGTGTATGGATGGGTTTCAGATGGGTTGCGGCTGGAAGGGCATCCGCTGTGTAAAATGCTGGATAAGTTAGCGGTTCATTCTGCTGTGGCAACTCCGTATTAATAAAGGGACTAAACCGAATAGGAATTGATTGAATGAATGATTGTTTATATTCAATTAATTTCTATTTGTTAAAACAACTAAGTTAACTTAATTGATTTGTGTTGGGACAACATGAAGGACTTGTGTGGTACCCAGGATTTTTTTACAGTGTAGGTTGAAAGACAGGTTGTCAAATATAACAAAATTTGTTCTAGAAGTAAACTAATAAGAATTTATCTATTACATTTAAAGATGTTGTATATACTGTAGGATTGAGAAACATCTACTCATTAGGGTCATTGCAGGTGACAGTGAGCAAAGAACTGGATGCAGCAAGTCCGTATTCTTAGAACAAAACTCTTATTATTCTTTGATAAAAAGTATATACACTACCAGTAAAAAGTTTGGGATCAGTTAAAAAAAAAACTTTTAAGAAATTTTTTTTGTTCATCAAGGCAGCATTTATTAAATGTAATTTGTGAATGAATGTAAATTGTTAAATATTTATAAAAAATTTAAATATGTAAATAACTTCTTTCTTTTATGTAGTTTCAAATAAATTCTTATTCCAGTCATTATTGCTTTTATTACTACAATCATTAATAATAATAATAATAATAATAATATAAAAAGTAGTTTATGAATTCATTTAAAATTTATTCCAGTGATTTTAAAGATGAATTTTTTAGCTTCATTATTCCAGTCTTCCGAAACATGTGATCCTTCAGAAATCACTCTGATATTAATTATTATTATGATTATTACACTGTAAAAAATGATTAGTTATTCAAAGCGAGTAAACCAATTGCCTTAAATGAAACAAGTTGACTTTACAAAAATAATGTAAGTAAACCCATTGTAACTTGGAACTGTTAAGTTGACTTTATTTTTTATTATTATGCAAATTGTATTCACTTTTTTTTAAGGTAAAATAATCACTTTTTCCACACTGTAAAAAACCTTTAAAAAGTGAGTACAATAAGCATAATAAAAAATTAAGTCAGCTTAATAGTTCCAAGTTACAATGGGTTTACTTGCATTATTTTTGAAAAGTCAACTTTTTGCTATTAGGGCAATTGGTTTACTCACTTTAAAGAACTAATTGCTTTTTACAGTGTAATAATAATAATTAATATTATAGTGATTTCTGAAGGGTCACATGTCTCTGAAGACTGGAATGATGAAGCTGAAATTTCATCATTAAAATCACTGGAATAAATTATTAAAATAATTTATAAACTACTTTTGAACTGTTATTTTATAGTGCAAAAACTTTTTTTTACAATTTTGTAATGTGTACTGTATTTTTGATGAAATAAATGCAGCCTTGGTGAGCAGGGTAAGCTTTTGACCGGTAATGTACATTATAGACACTCTCGGTTCTAAGGGCGATATTTGAATTTTCATCGTATTGCAAATAAACAGAACAGTTCTGTGTTGGACTGGGGCAAATGAAATTATGTATACTTTAAGAAGCACTGGTACACAATGCTGCTGGGAACAACGTTAAAAAGAGTATATAAATACTTTACATTACACACTGACATTATAGTACAGAATAACTTTTTCTTTATTACTGTAAACATTGCATACAGTAAGTTTATTGTTTTATTTCTTCTTTTTTATTTTCTTCATTTACTGGAAGATGTGTAAATGTTACTTACTTCTCCTTTCCTGGAGTAAAAGTCACATAAAAATGGCTCTACAAAGCAAAAAAAGATTAATATAATACTTTTTTTTTTACATATTGCCCTTTTGATAATGGTTTGTTGAAAGCAACATTTTGGACAACTTCCCTTTTCTAACTTTTTAATGCACACTTAAACAGTTAACCTTGCACCCTGTATGGCTATAAAAGAGTGCAAAAATATGCAACTGCTTGTCGCTAGATATTTACCCCCCAAATGTTTATAGTTCAGTATGATTAAACAACCCAAAAAAGCATTAGGAGCTTTATTTATTACTAACTGGTTTGATTTTATTTCTCTCAGACGTCTACTCAAGTTACATGTATTGAGACTTAACGTTTTAATTAGGTTTTATTAAAAATACAAGTCACCACTATGGTGAAGAGTGAACTCTTTGAGTCTTTATTCAAATTGATTGATGTTAAAATTGACTTTAATCTTGAATTATGATGATAATGTTGTGTTGATTTTACTGAACTTTTAAAGAATATTGAGACCCAGCAGTGCACTGGTTAGGCATGGGTTGGTAAAAGATTTTGATAGCATGATAACCTTTAATAAAAATTTCACAGTATCACAATATTGTGATTACTACTCCAAAATAGGTTATTTTTAAATGTCTAGGCAAAAAAACAACCACAACCCCCACACCCCATTGAACACAAAATGTTTTATTTTAAGAAATATTCAAAATATTTTGGACTAGTAGCTTTTGTTGTAGAAGTTGCTTTCCTGCTGAAGATACTGTTGCCCTAAAAAACTAAATAAAATAGTTGTGAAAAACATGTAGAAAAATCTTACATGTACCTTAGGAATGGTACATTATCAGAAATAAAAGTACAAGGGCTGTCACTGGAACAGTACCTTTTCAAAGGTACATATTTGTACCTAAAGAGCCCATATTGGTACCTCGAAGGTACATTTTAGGTGCATTTAAGTATTGATATATACCTTTGAGGTACGACTAAGGACTCTATAGGTATAAATATGTACCTTTTGAAAAAGTTACTGTCCCAGTGACAGCTCTTGTACCTTTATTTCTGAGAGTGTATAACAGAAAACGTTGGCGGTTTTAAAACCTTGACTTTTCTAAACCATGGTAAACCTTGAAACCGGTTATCATCCCATGCCTAGCACCGGTCAGGTTTTAAACACATCAGTATTCAGCATATGAATCTCAACAATGGTGACACGCTTTATGCTGCAGTGAATGCTGGGAGAATCATACAACACTCGTCTATGACATCGAAGAAAATTTGTCCCAATTGTTGAGATTTGAAGGCTGATTCTTGATATCTGTGTTTTTATGTGATTCAGATGTTCAGTGTATTCCTAAAACCTGACCAAAGGACTCTCTGTGCAGGGTAATCAACAGTGCCATTATTATACAATGTTAAAAATCACTGACTACATCAGTGCTTGCTTTAACATTAAGTCACAGCAGTGTAAACAATGCCAGTTCAATTGACCCATTTTTATTTATTTATTAACTTTTTTACAGAATAGGTCAATATTGGATATCTAATTATGCTTATTACATTTACGCAATGGTCATTGCCCTGCCATGGTCTAACTACACATTCTGAATAGGAAACTGTTGTGCATTTGGATCAGCAACTTGTGTTTGTCTGCTGCACGCTCCACAGTTTGGACTACAATTACAATTTCTGTTACAAAGTTCACTTGTTCTTTCAGTCAAAGCTTTTGAAGCTTCAGTTCTTGAATGGCACAAAAAGTACGTAATTAAGTGAATCGACTGACGCAAAAACCTCATTTTAATTTTAAGACCTATGAATATCGCTGCTCTAAAACCAATTGACAACCTCCAAAATACCAGAACCCACTCTCTGTAACACATGACCTTGGTCCGCCTCCTACTTTAATATTCAGTAGGCTGGACTGTGGTAAAAATGTGCAATATGTAATCGGCAATACCATTTCAAATTGTTTGATTTATTTATGTCACTGTGTTTCATTTTACCCCATAACGTCTTGATTTTTCCAACAGCATGTTCATAAAGGCCATTCTTATCAATGCGGATGATTGCGCAGAGTTGGCCATTGAATAGGAGTGGGGGTTCTAAACCTAAGCTTGCACTTTTGGAATACCAACCACCCAAATGGCTTCATTGTATGCTGCGGAACTATAATGCAATAGCGTGTTTGTCAGTGAATAGTGTGTGAGTGTGTATTTGTAAATGTGCCCATTGTCGGGTGTGTATGAAGGACACTGAGACCAGTGTGTGGGGCGGACAGTCAGTGCCAGGCCAATGCACGCTGTTCAGCTGCAGCTGGACTCCCCCAGACAGCGAGAAAGCAGTTCTTATACAAAAACCTACTCTTTCAAAGGCTATGCTAACTGCTATCACAAAAGGCTAACTCAAAAGGCTAGTGCTTTTTGTGCTAACAATTCCGATACAGTGGTATGTGCTTTTTACTTGCCATAATTAGCTTGTTTTGAGAACTATTGTAAATGTTCTCACAGTTGTTTATAATGCATCAATTACATTACTTATCTATTATTTTCCAAATCCATTTTCTTGAAATGTATGCACAATTCTAATATATTAAACAAAAACGAAACTCTAACAATATGAACCTACACTTTAGCTCTCTAGGCCTCTGTGTCTGAAACTGAGGAAAAATGTTTAGAAACTTGGCAACTTTTTAAAAGAAGAAGTACAGTAGATACATTAATTTTGATGATATCATATTTACTGTACATAAACTCACAGTTGCACTGACTTGCTCTCACAGAATTATCTTTTTGAAATGTTAACATTTTTGGGGAAGATTGACTAAGAGGTGTCCAGTTCATTTTTGAAATGATGTAGATTAAATAAGCAATACAGTTGCTTATTTAAGATTTAACTGTGTTAATGTCCTGCTCTAGGTGGCTGACTAAAGTTTAATATGTTTTTAATACTAATTATAGCCAAGAGCAATGTACAGTGGTTAATATTTTGTATGTGTACAGTAGGAAATGTCAACAACACATACTATACAGTATAAGGAATTTAGGTTCTCTTAGAAAGTATGTGCTTTTCTTTTGATCGAACAAGTTATTGGCTTTTTATGTATAAATCTTATTTCAGCTTTACATTTTTACATTTACGTTTTTACAACTTTCGAGAATAGATCAAGGATCATTAAAGAAAAAAATGTGGATAAAAAAACCCTAATGCAAAGAGATCTAAACATGTTTGACACACCTGGTCTAAAAAAGACTGACATTTGTGACCATGGACCACAATACTATTCATATGTGTCACTTTTTAAAAAAAAAGATTTATGCATCACATGAAAGCTAAATAAATAAGTGTTCCATCAATTAATGGTTAGTTATGATATAGGACAGTATTTGGCCAAGATATAATTATTTTTTTTATCTGAAATCTGAGGGTTAAAAAAAATCTACATATTATTAATCAAAATTTGAGAATTGATAGTTTTATTGTTAGACATTTACAAAATATTTGCACATAACATGATCTTAATGTTATAGTGACTTTTGGGATAAAAGAAAAATCTAGCCTTTTGACCTATTGCATGTATTTCTGGCTTGCATATTTGCAAAAATATACCTGTGTGACTGGTTTTGTGTCGGTCACATTTGTCCATCATCTTTTTTGTCACTGGCATCTCCATTGTCAGAGTTAAAAACGGCTGTGGTTTAAAAAAATCTTTGTGGCTTCATAATAGGTAAGCAGGTTTTCAGAACTTCATCATGTTTTTTTCAGGTTGAGGGATTTTTAAACATTCTGTGTATTTATGACAAAGGTAAAGCATGAGCTGTGACTACACCTATTATAAAAAGATTGTCACTTGTGTGGTATTGAAAAGTCAAAAGTTGTACCTTGAAGCCTTGGACAAACTAGGTTGGGAATTGCTAGTGAACATGGATAATATGTTGCATTTCAGCCATTTTATTGTATGTTTACAAGCACACATGCTTATAAAACAAGCGTTTAGTATTGTGTCTGTAACAAACTTCCTGTTCTGTTCGAAGTTCTTTGTACATATATGGTCATAAAAAATACTGAATGATAATGCTTCTACTTTATTCTTCCCTTTTTTTCCAAGCTGAGTAAAAAAATAATAATTCAGATGCTACTTCATCCACCATGAACCATACAATCCTATAAATTGTTTCATTGATAGTCAGACTGCGCTGTAATTGATCTGTGTTTACAGGAGTTTGAAACCTGGGTGAAGGACACAGATGAAGATGGTTTCGTGGTGGTCTCATTTGGTGCAGGAGTGAAGTATTTGTCAGATGACATTGCTCAGAAACTCGCTGGAGCCTTGAGCCGTCTGCCCCAGAGAGTCATCTGGAGGTACTGCCATTCATTCGTTCTCTCATGTGATCACTGATCCATTTTTCCAGCAGATCAAATCACCTGCGTCTCAGTCCATTATGGTTTTTTCTATCACAGAGTATCCAATGGCAACTGGCCTGTGGTGGCAGGTGGCTTAAAAGCCATTTATTCTAAATTATCTGATCGTTTGCTAGACTTTCCAGTGGTTTCTAAATGCAAAATGACACTAATTTGTCTTGAACTATAGCATTTCCGTACATCATGTACAGATACACTTTATACACTATACTAGGAGTGTTCGATCATGTGATAAATCTGTGTGGAGACACTATTAACAATAAAACTCAATACATATTTTAATTGTTTAGGGAGGAAGTATACTGCATCCTTTGAGATGGTAGACACTTCAAGAGCCATGGGTCCCTCTTTATATTAGGATTGTTTTACTCATACAATTTTGTATATATATATTACTTATTCTATACCTATAGTGTTCATGTTTTATTACAAAACACTGCCATTGAGGTCAGGTAAGGCTAGAAACAGATTTAATTGTACATTTAATAATAGTACTATTTAGGAGCATTTAGTAGTACTGAAACCTGGTGACGTGCCACAAAAAAACAAGGAAACGATGAAGTAAATATGTACAGCTTTAATAATAAAATCCCAGGGTACACAAACTTGGAGGCAAACAGCGGGACATCAGATGTGGGGAATGACAAGACCGCACAATGCACTAAAGAAACACAAACACTTAAATACACAGACAAATCAAACTGAAAAAGGTGGCAGAGATAAAAACACAGGTAAACATAAGAACCACTAATACAAATGGGAAAAGGAACAAAGGACTACACACCCCATTCAAATCAATACAATAAACACTGCTGAGGAACTGGGACAAGAAGCACAAAAGGAAAGAAACCAAACTAAAAACAGAGTCTAGGGTTCTGACAACATGTATCTACCAGAATATAAACGCTTGTAATATACTAAGAATACAGAGCACTCTGCTTTGTTATTAGTACTTTAAAGTTCAGACAATTGAACTGTGAAATGGATTACATGCTTCTTTGAAATGTATTACAAGTTTCTTTATACAAGCACAATATAAATAAAGTGGTCAATTCTTTCTAGACAGAAGTAGTAACAATTTTCTAAATTTAGGCTCCAAAATAGATATAGGCTGTTTTTTAATTCCAAGAACACAGAAAATGGACTTGTGTTCTTGTAAACAGTGGTCTTACCAAGTCACCTCGGAAGAACGCATCCTGTGAGAAATGAGATTCTGCGTTCTTCCTGATGGTCACGTGACTTTCACGCATGTTTAACCTAAAATTATTTAAACCTTGCATCATTCATACAACAATTTATTGTTTTTCCCCTTTTCACAATATATACTCTCCATAAAGACTTTACAAATATACTTTCCACAATACGAATAAAACATTTTAATATGAATTTCAGCAAATAAACACATTAATGTGTTTATGCCTTTATTAAGATTTTCATGGTAATGTTTACTTTCACAGTCTCATTTAAGGAAACTCCTGAGGTAAATAAGTTATACAGTGCATCCGGAAAGTATTCAAAGCGCTTCACCTTTTCCACAGATTTGTAATGTTACAGCCTTATTCCAAAATGAATTAATCTAATTTATTTCCTCAAAATTCTACACACAAAACCCCACAATGACAATGTGAAAAAAGATTTTTTGAAATTGATTTTTTGTATTCACAGTCTTTGCCGTGAAGCTCTAAATTGAGCTTGGGTGCATTCTGTTTCCACTGATCATTCTTGAGATGTTTTAGCAGCTTAATTGAAGTTCACCTGTGATAAATTCAGTTGATTAGACATGATTTAAAAAGGCATACGCCTGTCTATATAAGGTTCCAGGGTTGACAGTGCATGTTAAAGCACAAACCAAGCATGAAGACAAAGGAATTGTCTGTAGACCTCTGAGACAGGAATGTCTCATTGCACAAGGCTGGGGAAGGTTACAGAAAAATTTCTGCTGCTCTGAAATTTCCAATGAGCACAGTGGCCTCCATCATCGGTAAGTGGAAGATGTTTGGAACCACCAGGACTCTTTCTAGAGATGGCCGGCCATCTAAGCTGAGTAATGGGGGGAGAAGGGCCTTAGTCAGGGAGATGATCAATAACCCGATGGTCACTCTGTCTGAGCTCCAGCATTCTTCTGTGGAGAGAGAAGAACCTTACAGAAGGACAACCATCTGTGCTGCAATTTACCAATCAGGCCTGTATGGTAGAGTGGCCAGATGGAAGGCACTCCCTACCTGGAATTTGCCAAAAGACATCTGAAGGACTCTAAGACTATAAGAAACAAAATCCTCTGCTCTGATGAGACTAAAATAAACTCTTTAGAGTAAGTGCCAGGCGTTATGTTTGGAGAAAACCAGGCTCCACTCATCACCAGGCTAAAACAATCCCTACAGTGAAGCATGGTGGTGGCAGCATCATGCTGTGGGGATGTTTTTCAGCAGCAAGAACTGGATGACTAGTCAGGATAGAGGGAAAGATGAATGCAGCAATGTACAGAGACATCCTGAATGAAAACCTGCTTCAGAATGCTCTTGGTCTCAGACTGGGTTGACAGTTCATCTTCCAGCAGGACAATGACTCAAAGCACACAATATATCAATGGAGTGGCTTCCCACCTTCAGTCGCAATGACTTCTGGGACTTCTAGAATGAGTTTGGAGCTCAAGTCTGCATCGATGCATCATCGATACCAAGAACACATCCAGGAACTTTCATGCACCCTCCGTTCTTGCGGTCTTGATTTTTGGAACTGAACTTAGGCAATTGATGATGACGTTACATGTGAACATGAGGATGCAAGATTTCTGAAGAATGTACATTGAGAAACAGCCTCTGATTATTCTGAACATCAATTTGTATTTTGATTTGTTGAATTTTTGCCTGAAAAAGTTCAATCTTTCTCACTTATACATGTTCTCTGAAATGGTTTACTGATAGTTGGTGAAACTACTATCAATTATATAAGAAGAATTAATTATCCCTTTAGTTTTTTTTTCTGAAAATACTGTTTATTATTTACTATTACTACTATTATTATTTACTTTGTGCTCATGTCATTAACCTATTTGACAATTTCTGTTTAACACATAGACAGAACATCACCTTGGATTTATAAGGTTCTACAGAGCTTTAAAATTTTTGCCTTTCATAGCAAACAGCATGTGTGTACCATTTGTTTTTTTAAATAAAAAGTCTTAAAATTTAAACAACTTATAAAAAAAAAAACATCCCGTTATGTAAATAAGTTGTCATTTAACAAGAATATGTCAGTAACTAAATTTAGACCCTTATAATTCTAAAATATGATGAGAAGTCTAAGAATTTTACTGTGTTTTCATTCAATTCTGAATAGGAAGAGTAAAAATATAAAAGATATAAGAAATTATATAATAATCTAAATATCTATATCTACATATATAAAAATATACACAAATATAAAAACAAATATTAATATAAGATGTTAAAATATAGAATATAAAAATAGGATTGACTTACAATAGGGAAATCTGAATTCACCGATGGCCTTATTTGAGTAAGATATAAGTTGAAGTTTTTTATCTTTTCTGAAATGCTCAGTCCTAGAGTAGCTAGTACAATACAGACTACATAGTACAAGTTTTCTGTCATGGAAGAAATAAAGTTAAGCAGATCTGAAACTTAATTCATAAATAACTAAGTTTAACAGATTTAAGAATATACAGTTGAAGTCAGAATTATTAGCCCCCTTGAATTATTAGCCGCCCTGTTTATTTTTTTCCCCAATTTCTGTTTAACAGAGAGAAGATTTGTTCAAAACATTTCTAAACATAATAGTTTTAATAACTAATTTCCAATAACTGATTTATTTTTTCTTTGCCATGATGACAGTAAATAATAGTTTACTCAATTTTTTTCCAGACACTTCTAGTGACATTTAAAGGCTTAACTAGCTTAAATAGGATAACTAATAATTTTAACAGTAAAATGGTGTTTAAAAGATTAAAGACTGTTCTTATTATAGCCAAAATAAAACAAATAAGACTTTCTCCAGAGGAAAAAATATTATCAGACTTACTATGCAAATTTCCTTGCTCTGTTAAACACAATGTGGGAAATATTAAAAAAGAAAAAAAATTAAAGGGGGTTAATAATTCTGACTTCAACTGTATGTCCAGCATAAATGCATGTAAACTGTACATTAAAAAAGAAATTAAAATATGGTTGTTTCCTCTTTATATCTTCCTAAGTAAAGCTGCATGCTTATAGAAAGCAGCTCTTTTAGTTGTCATAGGCAGTAATATTGTCATGACTCCTGTAGTCATGCCATATAATCTCAATTGCTTTCTTGCGTTCATGCCAAATGTCCCTTGGTAAGACTTTACTAATGAGGACACAGTTGGGAAGTTGAAATGCCCAGGGAACATGCACACAGTACCAGATAAAAAAATCTGTACAGATAGACTGACACACACTTCAGTAATCTATAAAAATACACCAATGTTGTTACACATATAGTCATGAACATATGGTTTCAACTCATTCTCTCTCCCACTGTGCATACATTACAGTGATGGTAATTAAAGTCACTGACTACTGCCAGGTTTCTTAGTAACTGTAGAATGTTTGTCATTAGGTTTGACACTTACTGGCAAAGCTCTGAAGTATTGATTTTGAAAGGCCAACATGAAATTAAAATGGATTTCATTAGATTTTAAAAAAATTTCTCAATATATACTATCAGTGTTAGATGATCGTGCTGCTCTATTTTTGTTTGCTGAATTGTTGAAAAAAATGTTTTACAGTAAGTAGGGATGCAACAACTATAGATTTTGGTTCTGCAAGTATAGTCTGGGAAATAATCACGGTTTCATGGATATCAAGATTATTATGCATTTATTAATTTCAAAGCACTACTAGTTAATGTGAAAAATTCTTAAGATTTAAAGTGTTATTTATTGCTGCTCAGTAATCAGTCAATACAGCACAAAATAATAATAAAAAACAAACAATTGTCCATTTATCTTTGGACCTAAAAATAATATTTTTTTAGGGGGGGATTTTAAATATAAGTAATAGTTTTACACTAAAAATAAATGACAGAACAAAAATAAAATAAAATAAATAAATAAATAAATAAAATTAAGAATAAAAAAAAATTGTATTTGTCAAATGTAAATCCAAGCTACATATTAGCTAAGTGTTTCCCCTATTAAAGAAAACAAATGTAGTCAAAGGCTGCTGAAGCTCTGTCTGAAAGGCACTTTTGATCAACTATATTACAACATTTTTTTGTTTGTTGTGTAGAAATGTGCATATTCCATATAAAATATAAAAACTGATCGTCAGTTATTGTCACATGACTCGAGGTTTGCTCGCGGCATTCTTTCAACCATGCACACTCAAGCTGCATGCATCGATGCGATATGTGATCGGCCCTTAGTTAATAACCTCAGCCAGAGTTAATTCAGTGTGTGGTTAATAGCCTCAATCTTGGAACTTTAAACTAATACACAGTTGGCATAACTTTGTTTAGTTGCAGCAGTTTTGTTCCGTGCAAAATCGCGGTGTTGAGAAGCCTTTACGTTTATATAACCGTGATGAATTAAAGCGTGGTTAATAGTTGCATCCCTAACAGTAGCCTAAGTCATTTGTTAAAGACAAATTCTTTCATAAAAAGCTAATTTAGTATTTTGATTGATCATTATTTTGTTGCTCTCACAGATAAAGTTTGTCTGGTATGGATTTTATAAGCAAATAAAAGCAAAAATTCTATATATTTATTGGCAGATGTTTTGAGTCTAATATTATGAGACATCTAATTTAAGCTTCTCGTTAACTGAATGATCCTATTAAATGATTATGCAAACTTACACGTCACAAATTACCTGTATTTCAAGGTTTAAAACAGAATAGTATTAGAAATTTTTGAATAGTGAGAGTCATACATTTTACATTGATTTACTGAAAAAATCCTATATAGTCATATGGGCTATATATATATAAAAAGCAATTCTTAAGAAAAAAATGCTCTAAATTTGTTATTACTCCCTTTTCTGCTACCGCTAAATACTTGCCGTAGTAATTCACAAAAGCTTTTACTGGTAAAGCAGCCTTTCTAGAATTTTGCCAGTAGTTTTCACTTGGATTTTCTTACCCAGGTCTCATCCTTTGTTGTGTTTTATCTTTGAATATTCTGTTTCATTTGAAAATCCATCTCTTTACATAGTCAAATGGGTTGCAAATGCAGTTTCATGTTGCATTCAATGCCTAACTTAAAAGAACAATTTATTAAATCTTTATTTGTTAACAATAATATTTAAGTATTACGAAAAAAAATAAAATAACAAACAAACAAACAAACCAAGAAATATAAAACGCTTACAAGCTCTGAAGAAATCCATGTTGTTCTGCATTGACACTGGTTGAATCTCTTTCATCATTTGCATTTTTTTTTTTTTCTGAATGTAGGCATAGTTTTTAATCTGATCTATACATGCAAAATATTTGGCCTCTGTCTCTGTCACACAATTTAGTCTCTTAATGTGTTTTTTTTTTCTTTCCAGCATACCTCATTTCCCTGCAGTTATGGTGTATTTATGATAATATTTTTGATAAATGATTGTCATCTTAGCTCTAGATGATAAGCTTTTTACTGTTTTTGAATATTTTCTAGAATGAGACATCTGTATCTTACTTTGTTTAATCTCTCTGCAGGTTCTCTGGAGTTCCTCCATCAAATCTTGGCAACAATACTAAACTAGTGGACTGGATGCCACAGAACGACTTGCTGGGTAAGTATTCATTCTATCACTTTTACAGATCGATAGGATTTTTATTTAAATTATGTTTTGTTGGCCGTGTTCGCGTGAGTTTCCTCCAGGTGCTCCAGTTTCCCCCACAGTCTAAAGACATGCGGTACAGGTGAATTAAATAAGCTAAATTTGCCATAGTGTATGTGTGTGAATGCAAGAGGTTATGGGTGTTTCCCCATGTTGGGCTGCGGCTGGAAGGGCATCCACTGCGTAAAACATATGCTGGATAATTTGCCGGTTCATTTCACTGTGACGACCCCTGATTAATAAAGGGATTTAGCTGAAAGGAATATGAAAAAATATATAATGTTATATAATATATAATAATGTTCAAAAAAAAAAGGTCAGGAGAGGGATTTCTTCAATGTCATTAATATTAGTCATTTATTAGAAACAAATGAATAATTCGATACACAGAGCTCTGGGGGTGGCGTTACACCAATGCAATGCAAAAATGACATTCAGAAGGTTTGCAACCACATTGCATTTTCCCTGACTCCAGTATTTATCCAAAACTAATATTAAAGGTGTAATTTGTCACTTGTCGATCATTCTGCAGTCCTCCGGCAGCCGCACTAAACATACTTGATCTTTTTCTCCAAATTCTCTGCACAACATAAAAAACATAAGACTTCTCAACTACAAATATTCTGGGTTCAGTTTCAGCACATCTGTGCTTCAACAGGTAAGCTAAGTGATAAGTCAAATTATTTTCAGATATCGATGTCGCTTTATCTTTCCAGTGCACTGTATGGATTTCTGCAAAAATGCTTCATTAGTATGTAAAGCGTATCACACTTGGAGAAGAAGTTTGGGTAATATATCACCGAAGCAATACAAATGTTTAATGGAAAAAAAGAGACAAAAATAATAAAAATTATTCTTTTTTTTTCACAACAGTTTATTATAGTTAACTAAAACCAAAAAAAAATTTATATCATTATTTAAAATAAAATTAAGTTGCACTGAAATTAATTTACATTTTTTTATATATATTTTATTTCAGTTAATTGTAAAAAACAAAATAGGTCATTCATTCATTCATTTATTCATTCATTCATTTTCTTTTCGGCTTAGTCCCTTTATTAATCTGGGGTCGCTACAGCAGAATGAACTGCCATATTAACTAGCTAATGTTTTTACGCAGCGGATGCACTTCCAGCTGCAACCCATCTCTGGGAATCATCCATACACTTTCATTCACACTCATATACTGTGGACAATTTAGCTTACCCAATTCACCTGTACCCCATGTCTTTGGACTGTGGGGGAAACAGAAGCACCTGGAGGAAACCCACGCGAGCGTGGGGAGAACATGCAAACTCCACACAGAAACACCAACTGACCCAGCCGAGAACCAGCGACCTTCTTGCTGTGAGGTGACAGCACTACCTACTGCGCCACCGCGTCGCCCAAGAAAATAGTTAATAGTCTAAATTTAATATAACAATTAATAAATGTTTCCAGGGCATCAAATGATTTCTGGAGGATCATGTGTCTGTAGGAACACTGAGGATTTTAAAATAAAAACATATAGCCTTGGGAAATTATAAAAAAAATATTCTCCCAGCTTTCAATAAAGGTTTTATCTAAAAACATGAATACTAATACAACACATAGGCTTTTTATATCATGTAGTTTTGCTTAAGTCAATTATTTTATTAAAAAAAACGATGAAGGAAAATATTTTTGCTGTGTGTATGAGGGAGAGAGAGTTCGTCCTCCTTTCTGCATCTCTTAGGATAATGTCTCTGTTGTATCAGAGAACACAAAGCCTGTGCGCGTGTTTGTTTGTGTGAATGAGTTTCTTTCTCATTGTGCACCATGGGCTTGAGGTCACAGAGGACCTTTCTGTTCTCTCATTGTCTTTCTGCTGTCCGACATACTTCCTGTCCTCCGATGACTCGGTTAAAGCTTCCTGTGCTTTTGGTCTTCAGTTCGTTTAATCTGCTCATCTGTTCATTCAATCAGTGAACATGATACAATGAAAAAAAGATACACAAAGTCAGAAAATAGAGATGGATTTAAGTCATTTCTTCAGCTTTTGAACGCAAAACAACCCACTTGTCTGAACTGAACCTAAGATCAACAGTGACTAATGCTCAATACTGTCACAATAAATAACAGCAGTTTAACTTGAAGTTGAAATGCATTAAAGCAGAATGCAGCTTTATGCATAAAATCTTTTTTTATGTAAATGCCATTACTCCACCCTCTCTCTGAGAAACCTCTGACAAATGTACAAAAAAGTATGCAAATGTCCATTTAGATTTTCCTAAATGTCTTTAAATGAATGTTTAAAGAGATATGAGGGTACTTGATTAGCTGAAGTACAAGTATCAACTCTGAAACGTCAATAAACTCTTTACTGTTCAGATAAGCCTTGTTGACTTATTTGTGTGAGAAATATGTCATTTATATCTAGTGCCAAACTTCTGATGTGTCTGGTGTATGTTTTGTCTTTTGTTGCAATAAAAGAGTTAAAAAGACAATTTGCAGCATGAGGATAAAGAACAAGCCTTCTCCATTCGCTCTCATTACTTTCTCTTTGTTTTACTTTTACTATTTACTGTACTAAATAATACTACTACTAATTATAATAACATTATACGAATGCAAATTGTTATAAATAAACTGAAAAAAAGAGAAGGCATGGAGGCAGTGGTTTTTATATTTATGTAGGAAATAATATATATATTTTCATATGTAAAGATATTTGTGTATTGCTGTACATTCTGTGTGTATTAAGCAATGTGTAAGCATTTTGGACCTGCATAGGCGCAAAAGTAACACGCTCGGACGTAACTTTAAACCAGTTTTCAGTTGATCTGTTTCAGTTCTTCAAAATAGCAACGTACCAACAATGCGCCTGGTGCAATGCGTGGTGCAAATAGCAACAAATCGCACCACTCATGTCTTGCACCTTTAAAAAATAGCAAAAAACAAGAGCATTATACACAGTGTGAAAAACCATGGTCTGGGTACTGTGTCCTGCATTGAAATTTACAGCTGGTCATAACAGATAATAATAATAATTATAATAAACAATGAATCTAACTGATCTTAAAACATTTTACTGTTTCAACATTTTTATCTTAAAGATTTATGTTTAATTAAAATACATAAATAAATAAATGAAAAAATAAATGAATGAATAAATAAATTAATTAATTAATAAATAAACAAAATAACAAAATAGTTCTTTATATTATTTAGTTTTGCTTCTTGATTAAATGGTGCTGAGTGAAATCTTTGATAACTGTTTTAATGGAAGACATATCATTTTGCAATGTTCAAGAGTTGACACTTAGCTGATGATTGATTATAAGCTTATTTGTCATGCTGTCCCGGGAGAGAGCCCTAAGCTCATAAGATCCTTGAGCTCGGGGTTCCCTCCCGTTTGCAAGGCGAGAGGGGAGTTTGAGCTCAGGTAGATCTCGAGAACTCCCCTGCTGTAGTAGCTAATGAACAGATAGTGATTGCTATTAAGAGATAACTACTGTACTTACTAGGTGCATGTCTATGTGCCAATTTGGATTAGTTAATTAACTTAGGTTGCATGTTTTTGGACGGTGGGAGGAAACCAGGGAACCCAGGGGAAACCCACATGAGTACAGGGAGAATGTGTAAACTCAGCACAGAAACGTTGGCTGACTTGGTAAGGACTAGAGATGTTCTTGCTGTGAGGCAACAGTGCTAACCACTGGGCCACCGTGCCACCCATCTAGGACAGTAGGAGGAGTAGGGATGGAAGGGGCGATTCTTCAAAATGAAGATGGCTGTCATATGGAACTGAGGGTATTTATAGTGGCTTAGGAATTGTCTGATTGGTGAATCATAAATTGAATAATGCGGGGCCAGCTGCAACCATAAGCATGTGATCCTCTCAAAATTAGTTTATAGATAAACTTCACTTTGTAAGGGGGATAGCTCATTTTTCTCACTGCTATGTTTTCATCTCTTATTCATGTGTCTGTGATAAAGCATTCTGTGAGTTTTGTTAATCAGTTTGTTTGATCATGGCTAAAGGAAATAAAGAACTAGGGGTAGCATGTACAATGTGTAAAGTATTGGTCAAGCACTGAGCCTTGGAGTACTCCGTATTGAACTTTTGATTCTTTTCTAATACCTTTATTGTTAAAGTATAAATTGATAACAGCAAGATAAATGCAATCCCATTATGGCCAACATACTGTAACTTTCAAGCCCAGCCAAGGGCAAATTAGGGTCTGTAGAATCAATTACTGAAGTCCAACAAAACCTATAGACAAATGCAACCATAATCGCTTGATAAGTCATTTGTAAAATTAAGGAAAAACCAAAGCAAATATTTACATACAATACCATATCATCTGCATGTCATCATGGTAAAGAGGAACTTTTATGTTTATTATAAATGGGACATTTATTAATAATAGAATTTTGTGATCATTGTGTGCAAAAATTATAACTAGAAGAGTTGTCATGTTATAAAAGAGTCGGGGCAATTCTGCTGTTACCACAATCTCACTCAAAATACAGCCGTTAAACACTAGTTACTATGCAGAACGGGGTCAATGTTCGGGGATTCATTGTATTAGTGATAAATTGTTATTATTTTTTCTCTCATAATGTCACTATTGTTCACCCACAGGCCAAACAAACACACGGGCCTTCTTGAGTCATGGTGGCTTAAACAGCATATATGAGGCCATGTATCACGGTGTGCCTGTGGTTGGTGTACCGCTGTTTGGAGATCACTATGACACCATGACAAGAGTTCAAGCTAAAGGCATGGGTATAATGCTGGAGTGGAAGAGGATGAGCGAGGAAGACCTTTACACTGCCATGGTGAATGTCATAACAGACAAAAGGTAAATTAAATTGCATTTGTAAAATGAATCCACTGTTTCCTCACACACACGCACACACACACACACACACACACACACACACACACACACACACACACACACACACAAACACACAAACACACACGCTAGCTGCAGCTGCTGTAAAATGCCGGTTACAAAACAGGTAAGGTAGCCACAGTCACACACATGCACAGAGCCGGGTTAATCTTTAATGACTGTGGAATTGGGGTTACTCGGGTTTAATTATAAACAAGACCTGTTGAAGACCCCACGAGGGTGTCAATATTTGTAGATCAATGGTGTTTTAACAAATCCATGAGAACAAAAGAGACACATTAGCTAAAAGCAGGATTTAGAGACAGAGGGCTTTTTAGTTGTATTACAGTAAGCCCAAAATGAAAGTTTTGTCATTATTTATCACTTTCATATTTTTTTCAGATGTATTGACCATTTTCTATTCCCCAACTGTAAACTATTGGTAAAGTGTTTTTAAACCCGTACAATAAGGTGACATTAGTTTCCCATCAGTATGACCGTCAATTATTAAAAGGAGTCAAATTATCTTATATATATATATATATATATATATATATATATATATATATATATATATATATATATATATATATATATATATATATATATATATATATATTAGGGATGTCCTGATCCCGATTGATATCGGAAATTCGTCCGATATTACAGTTTTTCTTGTTTGCTTTGACCTGGTTAAAGAAACTAAGTTCCACTTCATTTTTATTATCACTATCCCAGCAGAGCAGAAGACCGGTCTTGCAAATGTGTAAACCCTTTCTCATTGGGTTGACACATTTTCCGCACCATTTTTCAAAACAGTTAACACGGATGTCATTCAAGCAGTCCAAACTTCATTGTTTTAGTTATGGTAACCAAACTGAAACCATCCATTCCTAACCATTACAAACCACCAAGATCAGTATGAATTCACTGAAGCACCGGATTGACACTCCTTCACACAAATCTTCACTTAGCAATCAGTCTGCAAACATTAAAATGGTAGAAGGTCTGTGTTGTTCTGTGCCAGCATGGATGGAGGAGGTCAATAGTGGCTATTTCCTATACTCCCAATATATTTGACTGTATATTGGTTTACATGTGTTTTCTCTAATATTTACAATATTTTATTAGTTTTTTTCTTTTTTCTGCTTCTTTCTGCTACTTTTTTTCTTTTTTAAATTTTCTTTTTCTTTTTTATTTTTTTACGGTATTTTAGTTTTCAGCCACAGTTTGAAAAATGTCATGAATTCAATATAAGTTTGATCAAAGCATTTCTTATTCTTGATCCAATTCTTTGCAAAAAGGCCAATTTGACAGCCCAAATAGAATTCACACTGAGATCTGTATTTTGTTTTTTGTTGTCCATTGTCTAATGAATAATTGAAAGAGTTTATATACTTGTTTGCAAGTTGTGTTGTTTGAAGGTAAAACTAGCTTTTGTTGCATATTTTTAATGTTTTGACACGGTATGTGCATTTTGCAAGCATAATGTTTCATTTGGACCATGAGTGCCGCTGTTTAGGCCTGTGTGTTAACTGTTTTGAAAATGTGGAGTTTCAGTTGACGGCTGCATCAAAGCAAACAAGAAAAACTGTAGTCCAAAAAACTATATTTTGATACTATTCTGAAGTAGTCCGAAGCTATTCTATCCAGCAGCGTCCAGAGCTAGCGTGCAAAGCCCACGTGATCACAACACTGCTTGCTAGCAAAGTCTCTGGTGTACTACAAAAGAAATCTATTGTGACGGTAGCACATGCTGACGCTAGCAACAACGGCACATCTCTAACGTTACTGGTTTATTTACTTTATGTCAAGCGATCTTTACATTGTTTTGTATAACGTTACGCTGCTAAGCAACATAAGGCACCAAATGGCGACTTAGCACACATCGTGCGAGCCTCAATTTGGTCATGGCATAACGTGGTTCATCCAGTGTGATACCTAATTCATGACCAGCGCTTCCCACATATAAGACTTTACTTCAGTGACCCGGTTCTGTGTGCTTGAGAAAAGTCTCCGCCACCCACAGACTTGGGTGCTGTGCTGCTGCATACCCACAGAGACGAGCTGGACACCTGCTCTGACTTTAGCTTTGAGTAGAGCGCGAGGACATGCAGAAAAAAAAGCCTTTTACTAAATAACTGTCTGTTAAATAAGAATAAGAAATCATGTTTGGTGTATTTCAATCCAGCTACTGCAAATATATATGTTAAAGATATGTGCAATGTATATTATTATAAAATTAATAATGTTTGGGAACATTGATACAGCCGTAATCTTCTTATGATAGAAACACAGATTAAATAGATCTGATAATGTAAATGTTTGTACGAACAATACTGCACATTTTTATTAACTTAACAATAAATTATTTCTGCTGCCCAGTGTGAAAGATATTTTTCAGCTCAACTGGATCAAAAATTAATCAAGAAGCTGTGTGAGAAATTGAAACTTTGGACACTCAACTTTTAGCAGTTGTTCAATTAACAATATTTGTTTTCTTATGTTCCTGCTGTCAGCTGTTTCTACCATTTGCTGATGGTAAAAAATAATTAACTGAAGTGACCTTTAATTAGTATATTTCACTTTAAAAATGTATTTTTGTTTATTCAATTAAGATATTTTTCAGGGTCTTAATATTTATTCTTTAATTATTTTTATATATTCTTATGTAAAAGGTTCACATTTATGCAACAAATAGTTATAAACTGGTTGTTTTTTCTATACTTACTGTTGCTGACTTTTGTTCTCAGTTTGATCTAGCCCTTCATACATTCCACTCAACGAAATAGGTAAAAGTAAAGTATTCATGATTTGTGCTGATATCGGATTTATATCGGTATTGGATCGTACTGAAGGCTGCAATATCGATATCGTATTGGAAGTTAAAATGTTGTATCGGGACATCCCAAATTTTAATATGTATAGTTGAAGTCAGAATTATTTTTTTTCCCAATTTTTTTTCCCAATTTTTGTTCAACAGGGAGATTTTTTCAGCACATTTCTTAACATAGTAGTTTTAATAACTCATTTCTAGTTGCTGATTAATTTTATCTTTGCCATGATGACAGTAAATAATATTTTTCAATATACTTCTACAGCTTAAAGTGACATTTAAAGGCTTAACTAGGTTAGTTAGGTTAACTATGCAGATTAGGGTGATTAGGCAAGTTATCCAATCCGATGGTTTTTTCTGTAGACTATTGAAAAAAAAAATTGCCTAAAGGGGCTAATAATTTTGACCTTAAAATGGTTTATAAATTGAAAACTGCTTTTATTGTAGCCAAAACAAATAAGACTTTCTCCAGAGGAAAAAAAAAACATATCAGACATACTGTGAAAAATGGGGCGAGGCAGTGGCGCAGTAGGTAGTGCTGTCGCCTCACAGCAAGAAGGTCGCTGGGTCGCTGGTTCAAACCTCGGCTCAGTTGGCGTTTCTGTGTGGAGTTTGCATGTTCTCCCTACCTCCGGGTGCTCCGGTTTCCCCCACAGTCCAAAGACATGCGGTACAGGTGAATTGGGTAGGCTAAATTGTCCGTAGTGTGTGTGTGAATGTGTGTGTGGATGTTTCCCAGAGATGGGTTGCGGCTGGAAGGGCATCCGCTGCGTAAAAACTTGCTGGATAAGTTGGCGGTTCGTTCCGTTGTGGCGACGCCGGATTAATAAAGGGACTAAGCCGACAAGAAAATGAATGAATGAATGAATGAATGACTGTGAAAAATTTCCTCAGTGATGGGTTCACAAAATTTCCTCAGTGATGGGTTGCAGCTGGCAGGGCATCCGCTGCGTAAAAACATATGCTGGATAAGTTGGCGCTTCATTCCGATGTGGCGACCCCAGATTAATAAAAGGGACTAAGCTGAAAAGAAAATGAATGAATAAATGAATAAATACTGTTAAAATGTTCTTGCTCTGTTAAACATCATTGGGGAAATATTTTTAAAAGAAAAAAAAAATCAAATGGGGCGCTAATAATTCTAACTTCAACTATGTGTATATATACAGTGCTCAGCATAATTGGGTACACCCCATTATGAAAATGAATATTTGTATTAATTTTTCAGTGAATATAGGCAATGTATTTTTGTGCATTTAAACAAAACTGATTTATTAAACAGATATATTTATTAAAAATATATTTTAGTCACTAAACATATTTAGAAATTAAAAGAAAATACAATTAAATTTAAGCAAAACAAATTCTGTACAATTCTGTCAAAAAAATCTCAACAATTTTTTAAAAATATTTTGCTCCTTTTGATTTTTTCCTCTTTTTTAAATTTGTGTTTTATATTTTTCTAGAACACATACATCTGCTTGTACTAGTTTTTGGACCATTATCGTAAATTATTGTGTTAGATAAGCTCCAGATTTGACTTTAGTACTGACTAATCTAATGTATATACAAGAAAAGATAGGGGAGAGTAAGGGGTGTACTTATATACAGTATGCTTATATATACAGTATGCTTATATAAATAGACAAGAATTTTGGTATATAAACTGCTGTTACACTAAATAACATAAATACAGTTAATCATAAAACTGTATTACACTTTCATTGTTTAGATGCTTGAAAACCAATTTTGTATTTTACCATAAGAAAACAGGTGTTTAGAATAAAAGACTATCATACACTGCCACCTTGTGGCAATTTTTCAAGATCAACATCAAGATGATGCATTTGTGCTGCCTACAACATTCTGAAAACCAACCTCTCCATCTCTTTGTTTTAAGGTATCGTGAGCGAGCACAGTTGCTGTCTCAGATTCATAAAGATCAGCCTGGTCATCCAGTAAGTCGGGCGGTTTACTGGATTAGCTACATTCTCCGCCACCGTGGCGCAGAACACCTCCGCTCTGCAGTCTACGAGATCCCTACCTACCAGTACTTCTTATTGGATGTCGCCATGGTGATAGGAGTGTGCCTGCTTCTTACTGGCTATTGCCTATACCGAATAGTCAAGTGCATTCAATCTCGACTGGGGCGTGGTTCATCTCCAGGGGAGAAGGTGAATGGACACTGTCATAATGGAATTCCTAATGGCAAGCACAAAAGAAATGGCCACGTTAAAAGTATGGAAAAGAAACTAAAGTAGAGCACATTTACGCTTCACTAAAGAGAGGAATTAACTACTCTTCACTCAGTGCAGGGCCTATACAGGAAATAAATATATGGGTCAATAACGAAACAAACCAACCATTATAAAAACAAACTGTAAGTGGCAAGCCAAAGTATGAACGAATGGAAGAAAAGCAGAAAACAAAAAAGGGAAACTCCTGAGGAAGTTTTTTTTTCCCTGTTGAACGGAGCTAATGTTCAGTTGTGGTCCTGAAGTTTATCCTTGTGGAAAAAGCAACGGATTTGAAGTTTAGCAATTAGTGTTTTAACAAAAAGCTGTAATGCTAAGGGGCATCAGGTTTCACGGCATCCGAATACAACAAAGATCTATTTATATCAAATTAATTTTTTTTTTTTGCACACAGAGCACTGTTGAGTGTTGTGCACTGAATATCATTTATGCTCTGTATTTATATCTCACGCACTCCGTCCCAACTTTGTTTTCATAACTTTAGCAATAATAATAATTGGACAAGCAATCAAATTTGCTAGTGTTTATATTGTCAGCCTTACTTTAATATTTCACTGCATCTAACATGTTTTGATAGCCTAACTTATAGCCTCATTTCTTATAGACAAAAATCTGCACTACCTAATACTGCTAGTTCTGCTAGCTATGCTAGAACCTTTGATGGGGATATCTTGAAATCTTGCTTACATTCACAACACCTTTGGGATGCTAGAAATCATTATACTGAAATGCTTACATTCTTACAGCATCTTTGCCTCTTTTCCCTGTTTGTTTTGTTGTTCTCAGCTTGTATCGTTCAATGAACAACGCAGCAGTTTCCCTATAGAAATGTGCAGGTCAGGTGGAACATCCCTCACACAGTCCTTCTGTTGGCAGATATGGGTTAAAATGAGTAAAATTATACATTTTATATGAATAATTAAGACATTTTACTCATATTTTTGTTGCTTCATGGCTGTTTAGATTTTGAAATTTGATTTCTTCCTCAGTGCAGTCGTCAGTTCTTCTTTACTAGATAGTTTCTTTCATTTACCAAATCAGAAGGAACTTAGGAGGAACTTTTTTAACGAGGGTATACAGTAGTTTTTATGTGTGAGTGCCTGTGTCTCCCAAACAAGCTACTTTTTTATTGGAATGTTTCAGATGAGTGTTGTTATCAAAGCAAAACACTGTTTTCTGACATGTTCCCACAAATCAATAGGCCTAGAATGACCTAAAGGATTTTGGTAGTCTACTTTTAATCTTCAGAAATTTTGACCACAGGAAATTGCCTGTAAGGGAATATTTTGGTAACATTTCAATCCAACATTTAGTTGTTTTAATTTTTCACCAGATGGTTTAAAATGTCCAAATAAAAATTGCCAGTAAACCATACTGCAGTTCACATGCTGGTTTTACAACTAAGTGTCAGACTGAACTGTTTCCAGTAATGGTCTCAGACTGAAAATGATTATTTTTAAATGCATCACAAAAATCTGAAATACACTTGACTCATCCAAATACAAAGTGGTATGACATGGAGATGTTTATTGAATGACAGCATGTTTCGTTAGGGCTTATTTTATTTAAACAATTTGAAACTGTGTACATATTTAGGCCAGTAGGCATAATTATTTGCATTATGTAGAGATAAAAGGCTTTAAATCTGTTTTTGAAAGTTTATAACAGAGTGGTGCAAGCATAATCCAGAAGAAAAATAGCTTTTAGTACCTTTGAGATTTTCCTGAAGGGTTTATAAGGCTATTTTCTATTTATTAATTAAATAAAGTCTATGGTCAACATTACTTAACAATATTTGAACACGTTGTTCCATTAAAGAAACACTTACTAGCAAAAATACATTTTATAAAATACACATAAAAGCTTTCAAATTCAATTCATGTTTATTTCTATAGCGTTTTTACAATGTAGATTGTGTCTACAATGCAGAAGCTTAACATAGAAGTTCTAGTAAATTAAAAACAGCTTTCAGAGTTGAAGTACAGCTTAGTTCAGTTCAGTGTGGTTTAATTTTCACTGCTGAAAGTCTAAACACTGAAGAGCGAATCCATCAATGCGCAGCTTCACAAGTACCAAACCATGCAAGCCAGTGGCAACAGCCGCGAGGAACAAAACTTTAAGTGATGAAAAAGTGAAGGAAAATACCTTGAGAGTAGAGTTGTGCACAATTTGAATTCACAATTTGGAACGTGATTAGTAAACCGCAAGAGGCTGCTATATGAAATAAGCTGTATATGTATTATTTAATTTTCCCCGCCCAGAGTAAATGTCAAAAAAGACTGCTGTCTGTGTGTGACAGACGTATTAGCCAATTGAGTGAGCACACAATCAGAATTGTGCGACCGAACTACGTGGAACACCCACAATAAAAAAGAAGACAGTATAACATGGTAATATTGGAATATTTTGGTTTCAAAGTCATAGACAGCAAACAAAAACAGGTTTAAAAAAAAAACAAAAAAACATATATTATATATATATATTATATATATATATATATATATATATATATATATATATATATATATTATATATATATAAATATATATATATATATATATTTAAGAGCTGTCACAGAATTGATGCCATGGCTCACGAATTATTGAGTTGAAGCTTGACTACAAAATTTAATCGCAAGTCAAATTGCAATTGCAATATCTGTCAAAAAAATCACAATTAGATATTTTCCCCAAATTGCACAGCCCTACTCGAGGGAAACCAGTCTCAGTTGCATCATAAATCATGTTTTTGATGTCAGACATTGTTTTACTCATAAATTAAAACAAAATATGGGAATACCCAATAGGAAAACCTCAAAATAACAATGGCAAATAATTCTTTCGGGTTTTAACTGCAGCACTCTGTACATCATGAAGAGCTACATCATGACTTTTTCAAAACCACCCTGAGAAGACTAATAATCAAACTCAAAACAAAATGAAAATTCTCATTAAAACGAATCAAGATAATTCAAAAAACAAAACAAACAGCTGTTTTTACCATGAGCTTTCAGCATTTCTTCAGCCAAGCACTATTTTAGACTGTCCATACTTGAAAATAAACTGGATGCAATATGGCTGCAGATGCATCAGAGCTATGACTGGTGAGACAGTGACACACACACACACTTTGAACATTATTGTTGTTTTCTAGTAGTTGTTTTTTTCTGTATGATTTTCAGTATTAATAATATTAGATGGTTAACAACAGAGGAAAAAGCTGCAGATGGGCTCCAACCCTAATGGCTGTGACTGTTTGTGTGAGTAGTAAATGACTGTAATTTCTGTATGCGTGTACATTTGAATGAGTTTGCTTGAGCCTTCTTGTGTCCAGCTTTCAATTTATATACTGATCATTTAAAACCATTGCTCCAGTTCACTTACAGTACATCAGTAAGTTTCTTTGTAACTCATAGATTCCCGTTTCCCGATCAGTCCTTCTTAGAAGTAGTTGTTAAAAGCTGCTTGCAGAAGTTGTCTTTTTTTTTTTTAGTTTTTTTTTTTCAAAATTTCATGTGTGTCTGTGTTTTCATGTACATAAAAAGACAAACAAAACAACTAATGCTGAATAAACATTAAACATTTTGTTTGCTTACTTGTGTTGTCTGATGATTCCCTCTTGTTTTTTTTTTTGTTTTTTTTTTTTTGATGAAAAAGATGTTCCTAACACAAAGGAAAAAGGAAATGCAGAGCTGGTCTGAAAGTCACAAAGGCACATGAGTAGCGTCTCACTTTTGTTCTCAAGTTACACTGTCCCGAAGTGGTTTGTCTCGGATTTTCCCATGACCTCATTGATAGTTGTTTTGTAAAGATAACCCTTATTCTACAAAACCATTATTGATTCATCTGCGTTTGGTCCATTTTAAGTTCATACATTTGGCAAAATCACCTGTTAAAATGATTGAAGGAATAGTTCACCAAAAATAATGACATTTTAAAGAGTTTTTTTTTTTTTAATGCTGAACACAAAAGAAGATATTCTGAAGAATGTTGAAAGAAATGTGCTATCCATATTTTAAAAAAATTATATTTTCCACATCATTTTCATATGACCAGAAAGACAATTCTACTGCCTTGGAACTGGGTTTTACAGTAATAATTTAATTATTTATTTTTTGGTGAACTTGAAGTGCTTGTATACACGGTTTAGAAGAGAATAGTTGCATGCAGGGGGGATGTGAGGCAGTGTAAAACTACACGTCAGTTGGTCGGCAGGTATCAGGTGTTGTCTTTATGCTTTCAGCACTGTGTCATGCTAGAGGGGTGTGTATCCCGAAGATACTTGTGTGTGTGTTGATTAAGAGATAAACTGACACTTTATCTCATCTTTCTCTTAATTATTCACTGACGGTTTAGGATGTGATGTGCAAGTCTCGCAGGGTTATGTATGAAGACTGATAATGAGACTTTTCTGGTTTGAAGGATTGAAAAAGACATTTCTGCAAAACAATGTTACAGACCAATCACAAATGCCCCCCAACCCCCCATTGCATTCCTCTTTCTGTGTGTTTTATGTAATATTTATGTAATATGATTATTTTCTGCCCTATTATGATCAGCTATTTTTGTTCAAAATTTTGATAGGGTTCGGTACGGTGGCTCAGTGGTTAGAACTGTTGCCTCACAGCAGGTATGCTGCTGCTTCGAGTCTTGGCTGGGCCAGTTGGCATTTCTGTGTGGAGTTTGCATGTTCTTCCCAAGCTCGGGTATCGCTTTTTCTCTGGGTGCTCTGGTTTCCCCCGCAGTCCAAAGACATGCGGTATATGTGAATTGAGCAAAAAAAAAAACTAAATAGCCATAGAGTGCATGTGTGAATGCAAGATTGGGTGTTTCCCCTTACACAGTACTGGGTTGTGGCTGGAAGGGAGTTCGCTGTGTAAAACATATGTTGGAAGAGTTGATGGTTCATTCTACTGTGGCGAATCTTGATAAATAAGGGACTAAAAGCTGTGGGGTGATTGCTGTTACCCATGGTGCCTGCCTTGGTGCGTAGTCGTGGATTTACTGTATACTTCTGTGTGCTGTTTGTGTTTCTTTGCAAGAACATTTCCAAAGCAGGATTTATTGTTTCTCTTTGTCAAGTTTTTCCCGGGTGTTTTGCTTTTTCTGAATGCAACCTTAATGTACTGTACAAGTAGCTAGAACTGGCTCATTCAGAGGCTGGAACCGGCAGACGTGCAACAACTTTAACCATAAGGTAAACACAAAACAAAATGCTTCAATTTTTCATTCAAGCAGCTACACTGCTTCACTTTCTTTCACTTTCACACTTGTACTTAGAAATTTTAGTGAAAACCTCAGATACTGTTGGTTGTGCACTTTTTTTACTGACCAACCTCCCGCGGAAAAAGTGTTTGACACTGGTGGTAATTTGTGTGCAACTTATCTTTATTTATTTATAAATTGCTTATGAGTAAAACAAAGACCATGCGGGTCAGATAGTTGAAACGGTAGGCTACAAATAATTAATTCGTTACAAATTAAATTATTATTCATAAATAATTAATTCACCTCCGCCTATGACGACGATGCCATCGTCCATTGCGATGTTTCACATTAGACATCGTATGATGCCAAATTAGTCGACATCGCCCAACCCTAGTTGGAAAGTTCAAGCTTGGTGAGCTCTTACCTGCGAAATCACATCACCTGACTGCGTGAGACCAATCGAAGGTCAAAATATGACCTCTCTGGACAGGAATTTAAAACATGGACCAATCGTTCGTTTTTTAAATGTCTAATCATCTTGTTTATGCACCCCTTTTCGCAGCACCGTACAACTGAATTTTGCACACACAAACTCTTGTGTTAACGCAGCATAAATTAGCATTAAGCTGAATGAATGAATGAATGAATGAATGAATTACTTTTTGAAATGTTTAATGTGTCCTTGGTTAACAAATCTGAAAGAAAAATACCTTCAGTATGTTAGTACCTTTAAAAAGTATAAGATGATTTAATATTTACTGTTTTTAACATTGATTATAATAAATGTTTCTTAATCATCCAATCATGTCTGTATGACAATATAACAAATGACAAATCTGCCAAGTTAAGTCACACCACATGACAAATAAATAATACAATTATATATTATAAAAATTATTATACAATTAACACAGTTGTGCTGAGAGTAACTCAGACCAACAATAAAATAATGTTTCATTTAATGTTAATTGTAAAATTTGTCACATTATTACAGCAGATTAGGACATTACGTGAAACAAAAAAAATCCCCTCTTAGATTCAAACAATATACAAAACTGAATTTTTTTTTTTTTCAATAAACCCAATTGCTTTCTGTTTAGCATGAGTGGTACCACTCATGCTAAACAGAAAGCAATTGGGTTTATTGAAAAAAAAATGCAGTTTTGTATATGCAGTTGTGAGATTGTTTATGTGCAAATGCGTATGGTCATGTTTTCCTTTTTTAGTGTTCTTCTATTTGCATGTTGTTGTTTTTTACTTGCAAGACGCTTGAGCTCTCTCGGCCACCGTATCGTGTTCAACCCAAAGACAATATAATATAAATTTATCTATTATGACGTCTATGCCTATATTTTATTTATTGGAGTCCCAGACTTAAATAGCCTTCGAACGTTCGTTTTAATAAATTATTGGAATTATGGTGACGTCGGTACCACCACTAACGTTATTCAGAAAGTTTGTGGCTGTCAACGCCAAAACAAACAGTTTTGTGTATACTATAATGTTGTGTGCTAGCTGTCTGTTCTGCGTGTTTTGTTTGTGAAATGGAGAAATGTGCTGGAAAAAAACAATCGATTTTAGACGATTAGACCAGCAGCAACGCTAGTCAGTCTGCAGGGGGAGCTGAAGGGATGTTTAAAATTAAGAGCAGGCCTCTGAACTGAACTGAAGACAGACAAAACTGAAGAAATTTACTCCCCGAGATCATCTTTAATGAACAAACACAAAACTTGTCCATGCATCAACTTTTTTATTACTTGTGGAGGAGGACTGGACATGTTGACTGGATTGATTCAGTGGAGGATGAAGGCCTCTGACGAGTAAGTTTTTTTTTTTTTAAATATTATGCAAGCAGTGGAAATCATTATCACATTTGCAGTTTAAAAAATTGTTGGAGGTTTTGCAGAGGTAACTTACGATAAATTATTCACTAAAGGTACTTTCAAAAACTTTAAATCTAGTGTAGCATTTGTGTGTTCTTGCTAAATGAATATGTGGGGAAGATAAAACCTGGAAATTTTAAATATGTTGGTAAATGTACTAATCATTTTTATATATGAGGAGAATGTAAAAACTGGAAAAATGTATTGTTTGGTTGGTATAAAAACTACAGTTTATGGCATGCCCCTGCAGCCCACAGGCGTTTGTACTGCTAAAATGGATTAAGCTCAATACGCTACTTGTTGTTTGTTAAGTAAGTTATAGTGTATACAATTGAATAGTAATTTCAGAGTATTCTTCATTTGACTCATAAGATTACACTGGCGTTGAATGCACGTTTAACTATAAGTGTACCAAAGTTTTGTATAATGAACATTTATTTTACCTAATTCTACAGTATGCGAATTTTGGACTAGCAAAAGCCAGGTTTCTTTTAAAGAAGAACTCCGATTACTGTTGATGTTGGCATTTTGGTCTCCCGCACAAAAGTGTGTGTGCTGAAATGTTATTTTTGTGTTACCAGATCAGTTGTCAAGTTAATTGGAAAATATGTAGGCTAAATAACACATTTTATTTAGCAGTAAGCTAATAGTAATAGCCTAGGGAACAAAGTAAACCTTCCTCAGCACACACATATGAATGGTGCCTTTAATTTTAATAACATTTTTTTTTTTTACCTGTGTGAATATATCCTCCATGTGGCATTACTACTCTGAATCAGACTCAGAAAAAAACAGTTATGTACAGATATTAGTTATGATACATAAGTTAAAAGTTATATAAAACACATAAGTTATGTGAATTTAGTTCGATGAATTGGGTACAGTGACACACGGTCCTCACACAGGCATGGAGGGCGCCTCTCTCTGCTCACGTTAAATTGCAGAGGCATCAAACTCACTTGGAGGGCTGCAGCCCTGCAGAGTTTAGTTCCAACCCTGCTTCAACACACTTACCTGTAGACAGCAAAATCATAAGTAAGCCTGTCACAATAATCAATATATTGACTTATCGCACTACACATGGACATGACCTCAATCATTTTTGGTAATGCATACAAAAAAAAAAATAAAATTTGAAACATTTTTGACAATGTGTCAGTATTGTTGAAAAAAACACTATAGTATTTACAATAAATTGTTTTAGTATGTTTTCATGTGGGTGTCTGACAACTGAAAATAGATCTGGTACCTGATATCGCTGCCTCTGCTACTTTTTACCTTGCACTTTTTTGTTAAAATGTATTATTATTTATTTAGGATATGTGTTATCACATTGTCATTCCAATGCCTAATCGTTAAATGGTTAAAATGACTATAATTAAATGAAATACTCCTCCTAAGTATAAGATATTATTTGTTCTCTGGAAAAGTGAACTTGCATTGGATGATTTTATATGGTCATTCTGGTATTTATAATGAGTGGTATAAAATTGTCTTAAAATGA